TCTGCCATGTGCCACTGCTGTTGTGCCTGGTGTGAGGTTTGTTTATCCCTGTGGCCTGGGAGCAGTGATGTGGTTCCCAGTGGAAGCCAAGTAAGCCAGGAGAGTGGCTCCTAGTGTTTGTGCTGTGGAGTTGTGCTGTGGTGGGAACTTGAGGCAGAGACTGAAGGGTTGCCCTGCTCATCTACAGGGCACTGTCTAACTGTGGAAGTGTCCTCCTCACTCAGCTGGGTGCTGGTTTTGCTGTTTATCCAGACGTACAGGGATCTAAAGGATCGCATCCAGCTGACAGCATATAAATGCAAGGTGGAGCGAGGCTCTGCAGAGGAAGAGAAGATAAACAGCATTCTCAGCAACGTGGTAAGAAACACCTACTTTTTCTTCCAGAGACTTTTATCAGAAATGGCCATAGATTAGGTGTAAGGGCATGGCTGTCCTACATAAGGGAAGCTAATCTTATGTTTGGGGTTGCGTTCAGTGTAGGAATGAAGGGTGAAACTGATAGAAATAGCACCCTCTGGCCATAGTTGTCCTTGTCAGGGACTGGGACTCACTAACTTGACCCCTGAGGGATCTGTGTTCAGCACTGATGTTAGTCATATCTCGTCCTCTCTTTCAGCAAATCCGATGGAAGAACTGAGCACCTGTGAAGCAGCCTGCTTGGCCGTTGCCTTGCCAGTGATTGCAAGTCCAGTGCAAGTCCAGTCCAGTGCCAACAGAGCAACTCTGTTACTACTCATTGCATGATCAACGTTCGTCAGTGACAGTGGGTGCCTGTGGCTTGTGGGACAGCGGCATTCAGGCTGGTTGAAGGCAGCTACTCTGATGTAGCCAGCGAAAGCATGGTACTGATCCACCAGGGTTGATTCTTTTTGGAATCTGATTCTCTTTGACTTGGCTGTAAGCCAGGCATCGCTTTTGTTTACGGAGGGAAGTTACTGGGCACAGCAAGGTTAGGTTTGCTCTGGGTGGTGCCTGGGCTTGTTCTCACAAGAGGAACAGGTCAGTCACATTCGTGGGTCTCTCCACCAGACAATGCTGACCAGTCCCTGTAACACTCAAGCTGACTTGGGCATCACCAGTCATGGCTGTGGCTGGAGTAAAGCCTGCTGGACTGTGTTCTCCCTACATCAAAGAGGGTGTTGGGGGAAAGGACCAGCTGCACCTTAAAGCTCTTTTTTTTTGTTGGTTTAAAGAGGTGTTTTATGAACTCCTGCAGAAAGCCAGGACAGCAGCCTCTGCCAGTATCCTTGTGCTGGCACTCTGCAGCTCTTGGAAGATCCCTTTATCTTGGAAGATCCCTTTATGGTGTGGAGCTGGTCAGAGCCCTGCTGGGTTGGATGGAGAGCAAGGGGGGGACCCCTCTCAGTGGGCACAAACCTGCTGGCCCCAGCAGCTCTTTTCTCAGTGCGTGTTATGCCAGGGAGGATTGAATTGCACTTTCTCAGAAACACAACTCCTCAGGCAACTGCTGGCTTCATCCTTCCAGACCTTACTTCAATTCCTTAAATAAAGCTGTCTCTTTCTCCTTGGGCTGTTTACTTCCTTCCCACACTGAGCACTTTGTCACTCTGTGTGCTAATCCTGAGCAATTTATCACACCTCCCACAAAGTGAGTATGCAGGGTGTTTTCTCATGTCCTGAAAAGCAGTGTTTGTCACCATGGAGTGGCTTTGCTTGCAGCAGTACTTTATTTCACATCTTCAATGCCATCAGCACAGATTAATTAATTTTAACGTTGTAGGAGAGTTTGCTGCCGCAGGGATGGTCACACGAAGGTGAAGGTTATATGTGGCGATGTACCAGTCTGAGGGCAGGTTTGGGTTCCAGCCTCCCTGCTGCACTGTGCACTCTCGATTTTTTTCTGTTGGTGTTTGGTTTTTTTCTCACAATTGTTTAGGTTGGAAGGGACCTCTTGATCATCTAGTCCAATCCTGCTCAAGCAGGATCACTTGGAACAGGCAGACCAGGACTGTGTCTATTTGGGTTTTCAGTATCTCCACAGCTGGAGATGACTCGACTTCTCTGGGCAACGTGTTCCTGAATTTGACCACCCTTGCCGTAAAAAGGTGTTTTCTTGTCTTCAGATGGACTGTCACGTTTCAGTTGGTGCCCACTGACTCTTGTCATCACTGGGCACCACTGAAAAGAGTCTGGGTCCCTTTTCTTCATTCCCTGTCATCAGATACTTACACACATTAACAAGATCCCCGCTGAGCCTTCTCCAGGTTGAACAGTCCTAGCTCTTGGCCTCTCCTCATACAAGAGATGCTCCAGTCCCTTAGTCATCTTAGTGGCCCTTTGCTGGACTCTGTCCTTGTCTCTTTTGTACTGAGGAGCCCAGAACTGGACACAGCACGCTGGATTTAGAGAGGAAGGATCACCTTCCTTAACCGGCTGGCAACACTCATCCTAAGGCAGCCCAGGATGCTGTTGGTTAGGGCAAGGTTTGCTGCCAGGCTCTCCCACATGCCCCAGGCCAGGACATTGTTTGGTTTTGGGAGTTGGAACGGTGTCACTCGTTGGGATTTATGTCAGGGAGCAACGGGAGAAGCTGAGCATACCCTTGGAGGAATCTGATGAAGCCGTAAAATAAATCTTCACACCTGTATTCTCCAAGCATGGGTCCTGGATGCCCCTCTTGTGGTATGACCAATGATACAGACGTGTAAGGGGATGTGTAAGTCCAGCAGCAGGGGAGCTGTGATCTGGCTATGCCTACTGATCCCCTGACCTCGGTGTGCAGTTTGCAGGATGCAGTGCTTCTGACCTGTGGGTAGTGGCACTGCCAATGTCCCCAGCAAAGCAGGACCACTTGTAACAGAAAATGCTGATGTGCCACATGGGTTGGTGTTAGTGATGTAGTTGATCCTCACACCCCAATATTAGAAGCTGGATACCAGCTTTGTGAGCATCTTCCAGAGCACCAGGATACCGTGGCTGGTGTAAGTGTCTGATTGATTGCGTGTGGTGCATCAGGGAACGTTTGTCTATAAGGCAGCATTTGGGAGCTCACAGGCTACCCATGACTACTCTGTGTGGGCAGGAAGAGGAGGATTTCCAGGGAAATGTGTCCTATGGCTGGGGAGGGTGGGGTTTATGTAAGTAGTAAACCTAAAATTACTGTAGAGCTGGTGGGTTTTGTTGGATTTTTTTTTAAGCAGCTGTGGCAGGCACTGCCCAGCTGATGCAGATGATTTTGGGACAGCCTCAGTGGGATACAGGGTTCCTCTTTAATACCTGGCCTAGGCCCTGTGTGCTTTTGGCATGTATCTGCTTTTAGGCTGCACAGTCCAGCTGATGAAGTAGATCGTGGATAGAATTTGCAAAATGCTTTTTTTTTGCTTCCTTTGGAAATTCAACTCATCTGCCCCACTGGAGAGGCCAACATTCTTCTGGTTGAGAGCACCTTTTCCCCATGAACATGTGTGGGCATAGAGACATGTTCAACCCCTGCCCTCTTAGTTTTTTCACGCTAACCTAGCTGTTGGCTCTCGGGGTGGCACAGCTGTACCCAGCAGAAAAAAACAGAGACTGCTGCAGTGAAGGTGACCCTCCCCCACGACTGATTTCTGCTTTCTTCTCTGCTCTGGGGGATGCTGCAGTGGCTCTGGAAAAGCCCACGCTCCCAGCTTCCCTGGGGTGAAAGTGTGGGATTCTCCAGTAACCAGGCACTTGCCGTGGCAGCAGCAGTGCCCAGGCTGGGCTGGCTGGGTGCACCCAGGGGTGTGGGCTCGCTGCCCACGCAGGTAGAGCTGGTGCCTACCACACCATCGGGGGACATGAACCAGGGCAGAACCTGAGCAGGTGGAAACCTGGGGGCCTCACTGAGGCCACCCTTGTACCTCGCGCCAACTGCGGTGCCATAGGCACCAGCGGGTTGAGGGTGGTGAACAGTGCAAGACAGGACTCCAACCACTTGCAGTGGGGCATGGGGTTATTTTTGTCCCTGACGAGCTTGACTGAGGGCACTTCAGCCCAGTTGGTCCTCTCACCCCGTGGGAGCCGTGCCTGAGTTGGGTGAGCTGCAGAGAGCCTTAGGGAACGGGCCAGTTTTCACCTCTCTCCATCTCTAGTGCAGATTTGTGATACTCTGAAGCATGCTCCGGGTTCCATCACGGGTCACAAGTAATTCAGATAGCTCAGCAGTGTCCTGCTCTAGCCAAGAGCACTGTACCTTTGCCTCACGTCAGGCTAACTGGTGCACCAAGCTGTCCTCTGCTGAAGCAGGCAAGGCTGGGAGGTGCTGCTCTGGCCACCTCTAAACCCCCAGCACCTTTGCTGGCTGAAACCCCATCTCCTTAGCGAAGGAGGGAATCAGCTGCTCTGGTTTTCCGAGCTTTCTGAGCTAGTCGTAGTCACTCTGTTGTGGTGACGATTGTCTTGTACCCCTGGAAGCATCCTTGCAGCTCTCTTCAAGCAATAAGGCAGGTCCTGGGCAAAGGTTCCCACACCTGGACACTGCTGAGCTGGCCGTGCCACGACACAGGGACTTCATACCAAATACATGCAGGGAGAAGGAGCTGAGAGGCTGCTCAACTGGGGAGGACAGGAGGCACAGTATTGGCCTAGGAAAGCCGAGGACGAATGAAAAAATAGCTTTGAACTGGAAAACTGAACCACTTGCTGAAGGTTTGATTTTCTCATTACTTCCAGCCCAGGAGCAGCTCCAATGAAGACTGCCCCAAGCGCTGTGCCAGGAGCTTGTGGGTGGCTGGGCTTTAAAGTCCAGCTGGGACTTGTGTAATAGAGAAATGTAGCATCAGAGAAAGCACAGGTTCAGGTATCCACTGATGCATCTTGTTCTCAGTGACTGCGTAGCGTGTGGGGCCCAGCCACTTTTCTAGGTCCCGTGTTGGCAAGGAGAAACCCTGAGAAGGGCTGGGGTCTCACGCTGCAGGTACAACCCTGGCAGGTGCTGGGATGGACTGAGATGCTCCGTGGGTGGAGGCCATGTCCCTCTTCTAAATCCTCGCTGCTGATGCTTGTCCTTCTGGGCCAACATGTGGGACTTTACAGAGCCTTTCAAGTCTTCTCAGGCTGATGAAGCAGTAGAAGGTGAGGAGGCCTTGATGTATCTGACAAGGCACCGCAAGGGGCTGGCAGTGAACATGTGTGCCCATGCCATCTTCTTCTGCAAACTTCTCCATGACCTCAGGTAAGGTGGAAGCGAGCTCCTCACTGCTGGTAAAATGTGCTGGCTGGGTGACATAGTCATGTCAGGGAGAAACTTTGACTTGCCAAGCTTTTCCCAAATTACTGCATCTTTACTGAGCTAAAACGTGACACAGGCGCATCACTGGTCATCTTGGTGTCGGTCTAAACAGCATGAACGTGTCACAGAGAGGACTGGGGAAGGTGACTGGTCTCTATAGGGAGTTTCTTGTGTGGTTCACACCATCTCTGTATGAAGTTAAGCATTATATAGATATTCCTACACAATGCTGCAGTTTGTTAGCTTTTTATCTGGTTCTGCATGGTTAAAAACTCACCTACTGTTTATACTGAACCGAATAAGTTTGTATAAACTCACTGTCAGGCAGTCTTAAGTCATTTGGACTAGTTTTCCCCTGACAAAACCAGGGAATGGAGATTGTCTCTAGCACCGAATTGGGGTTTCATCCCAGAAACCTTGTAGTGCCCAACGTTTGTGACTTGTTCCTCCTGCCACTAGTCGGTATGATTTATAATGAGCCAAACGTCCTCCACTAGCATGTGCTGTCCCATGTCCCTTCTCAGTAGCAGCCTCTGCTGTCACTAGTCTATTCTCTTCATGCTGACTTGTCCCTGAGCTTGGCCATCATGTGGGTTGATGTGTCTGCCAGGTATCAGCTCTTAATTGCTGAGCTGCTTTACAGTTAGCGGCCAGTTAACCTCAGCATGGGTGGTGTGTTTTGGGATGGGGACACCATGCTCCCTGGGGTCTAGCCCCGAGCCCCACGAATGCTGGCATGCCAGGCTGCAGCCATCAGCCTCTGCCTGTCTGGCATCCCATTGGAGAGCAGGGGCGTAAGGTGGGCTGGATGCAAGGAGCGGGGTTGGGATGTGCTATCTGGACATGTGGCATGGGACCCTTCCTGGAAGGGTAGGACCACACATGATCTGGGGAAACCATGGCTCGTGCTGGGCTGATTCCAGCTTCTCTGCTTCCCCAGGCAGAGCAGGACTGAGGAGGGCTTGCTGACTTCCTTGGGGGAGAGCCACGGCCTGAAGGTTGGGATTATCGGGGGCCACCCTGGGAAGCAGCTGGCCTGAGTGCTCCTGATGCTGAGCTGGGCTCTGCGCCCCAGTATCCATGTTTCCACCAGGCGCCCTGAGAGCCTGGGTAAGTGCTCCCCAGCCTGGGCCTGGAAATGGGACTTTTAACTGCACTTTTTTCATAGCACTTCAGGCAGAACTCACTAAATAATATTCTTCTGCCAAAAATATTGAAGGTATGGAAACTCCAGGGTTTTTTATTGGGAAGCAGAGGATGCTGTGGTAGAAAAGATCTTTATTTGGTTGGCAACCCACTGTCCACCAAACATTAATTTAGTTGTTTGCTTTTTTTACCAGTCCCATCTGAGTGTGGTGGAGACATTAACCCTGTTCTTTGAACACTGGCTAGTTTAAGGCCCGTTTTAGTTTAGTCCCCCCCATTTTTGTGGCTTTTCAAAATTCTCCTTGTCATTTGCCAAGAGCCTCGTTGGTGGCTGAGACTCCAGGTTGTTAAATACTCACCCACAGAGAAAACATCTCCCCACATGAACGGCAGTGCTGAAACAGAGACATGCCTCTGCTTGTTTCATGGCTGCAGGGTCAGTTGTAGCAGACAAGCTTCTTGCTGAGCTCTGATCACCCAGCCAGGAGAGGAGGTCAGCCTGCAGCATTACAGCAACTGTTTGCATACAAACTGTCAACTGCCCTGTAAACTCTTATATAAAACAAGACAAGTGGGGAGAATGGTCCTCCAGGGAGATGCTTGGAACAATAAAATCCTCTTTCTAATCATCTCAGGTCAGAGAGGAAGCAGGGATTATTAAATGGCTTTTTATAGATCTTGAAAACTAGCCAGATCCCAAGGCTTGGCTGTTTCAGCTAAAGGCTTTAAATCAGCCTGAGTGAACCGGGGCCAGGCAGCTGAGCTCTGTGCATGTTTATTCGTGGCAGAGAGGCTGCCTGCCCTGTGTCACTCTGCGGCTGCCCTTTGCTATGTAGGAACAGTGATGGGCAGCAGCCAAAGTCCCTCCATGCCACTTTGGGCAGGCAGCCAGCGATCCCAGCCTGGGAGCGGTGGTTTGTGTTTCACCGGCACGTGGCAGAGCACAGGTAACTGCGCTGCCAGTGCCCGGAGGTGCTGGTCGGTCACCTGTGCTGGTTCTGTGTGCTTTTGAGTCCCTTTCTCCTTGCTTATCGCAGCAGACTTGCAGAAGCAGGGGCTTGCATGCTTTTACAACAATGCTCAGCTAGTGGCCTGGGCGGACGTTGCGTTCCTCTGCTGCCTCCCATTGCATGTGCCATCTGTCTGCTCTGTCGTTCGGCCTGCCATCCAGAAACCCTGCGTTATGTACAGCCTCGTGACTGCCGTCCCTCTCCTCAGGTAAAACGGACCGCATCATTTCCTAGCCTGGACGTGCTGCCATCGTTTGGGACGTCACGGGGCAAGCACAGCGCGCATGCTCTGGCCAAACCGGAGCTGTGCAGGAGCACAGCTCATACTGCCTCTCACAATTTTATTGTGAAACGTCATTGCAAACCTTGTCACTGTTCATCACTTCCCCAAGTCCCCAGCTGCTGGAGTCACGAGAACACTTTAGAGTTTCAGCTTTCTGTTTGTCTAGAGGAAGTTGTAGACTTTGTGGCTATAAACCTAAAAACATAATGAAAAGGAGTCAAAGGAGCTCCAGATCAAAAACAATGCTGGCGTTGAAACCCTGCTCCTGCCAGGGCCTCAGATTATTGCTGCAAGATAACCTGTTGTGAGACAGCACAGGAAACAAGGTGCAGAGAAGCAGCCTGCAGTCTCCGTGGTCAAAAAAGCAAAACTGGTGCATTGTGTTTCACTTTAAGCTGCTGCCGTAGCTCTCCCGAGGGCTCTGAGTGCAGGGGTATGACCTGTACCCCCTGCTCCTGACCCCTGGGGGTGCCTAGCCCCTGTGGTCAGGCCAGTCCTGGCCTTCTGCTGAGGTGACCAGTGACAGGCCAAATGTGACACTGCTCTTCATGCTATGGGTGAGACTGTTTACTAGAAAAGTTTGCAGATCCTGCAAAGGATAACTGCTTCCTCCTCCTTACCAGCTAAACCTAGTTTCTCCTCCATCAGCTAAACCTGGGCGATGCAGGCTGTTGATTGCAGGGCTGAGGGAGGGCAGACAAGTAGTGGGAATCCAGCTGCAGAAGGGAGAGGAAAGGAGAGGAACAGGTAGGAGAGACCTTGCTTGATTGCTTGAAAGAATCTGCGTGCAGTGGGGAGGGACCTGGACCTCGACACGTTCCTGTGCTGCTGCAGTTGTGGTATGACCTGTGTGCACTGACGGAGAAAGTGCAAGGGATCTGTGTGCACTGAGGGAGAAAG